ATAATATATAACTAAATGTCCAATAGTGTACAACTTAGCATTTATCTTTTACCTTGATTGCCAGGAAAACCTTCACTAATACCAACTGACATAGAAAGTTGAATTACATTTTGCTCATGTTTATTCTTATGATTATTTATATAAGTGATTTTTAAACCACAACAGTAGATAACTGCCTTGTAAACAAGTAAAAAATGATTAACATTATTGTTTTAACATCAGATCTTTTATTTACCAGTGAAACCTGAGAGATAGAGAGGGAGAGAATGAGAGATACCAAGATAGTCTTAAGCAATATTAATAATCCTAAGACTAATTTTAATAAATATCAGTATATCAGTCCTTTTTCTCCTTCAATGACATTTATTTTATTTCCTAAGATAGGAATATTAAAAAATATTTATTTTCCTTTCCTTTAAAACAGAATATATATTCTAAGACAGAAACTAATTCCATGCACTTCAAGTGATTATTCATATTTCTTTAAGAAATACATTATTTATGTGTGCGTGTGTGTGTATCTGGTGAATTAACTTTATTATGTTATAAACTAAAGTGAAAGAAATCTGTACCTCCTAAGAGACCAAGTGAAAATGAGAACAACAGCAGTTAATCAATTTTGAAAGAAGGAGGCATATGACAAAGAATTTAAAACTGTCTGTGAATACTTTATACAGAACATAATTCACATAGTAAAAAGTGAGAATTATTTCTGAAATTAAATGAGCATATTCAGAGTTCTTATTCCTATGAAATACAAGTAACCAGAAAAAAATTTAATATTTAATCCATATTGTATCTTACTAACTTCTGACTTCCATTTCTTTAAAAGACACACACACACACACACACACAATTTTGTAAAACTTCTGAGATAAGTGAACTACATTGGAGGTGTAGTTTTACATATAGGTACACACACACATAGATACTACATAATTGAGGTAGTATACATTATTTTAAATCACTCTTGTATGACGTTAATACTATTTTTGTACATCGATCATGCATTTTTTTATTCCAACAATGGAGAAAGTATTTTTTGTACTGAAACAAAATTAAATATCTAAAAAACGCTTAAGCTTAGCCATATAGTAATCAAAAGATACATTTAGAGACATTTTCAGAAAAAAACTAAAAAGACTTGCAAATGAAAAACTTGTAACTATTCTGCTAAACATTTATTACAGCTTTTTAAATTGTACATTCAATAACAGTGGTCAAATGGAACTTGCTTTTATGTTGCCTAGAATAAAAACTATTCTTCAAAGTTTTTCTAAGTTAACAAATCTTATTATATTGTCTATTCAATCCTGAAATAAATTTTGGTCATATACATATATATATATATATTCCGATATATATGTACACACACACACACACACACACACACACATACAGAAAAGAGAACTTTTTTCTTGCATTCTTCTACAAGACAAACTATTTTCGGCAGACAATCCTCATCGTTACCATGTGTTTGAAGGCCCACTGAACTGCAGTGAGTTAACAGAAAGGCATAGTGTAGCAAAGAGGTTGCCCATGAGAAACTCCACCTCTTATTCATCTTTCTCTTGTGGTTGTGCTTGTCAGGAGATCACACACTTTGTTCTGTTCTTCTCTGACTTAAGAGTTGAAAGAGGCAAGGGTTCTAATGGAAGGACCCAAAACATTCCTGGCTGCTATGACTCGGGGGATAAATCTATATAATTCAGGAGATGAGGATCAGGGCACATTTAAAATTGTTATAAATATTTTCTTATAACATTTCATAAAAATGTTAATGAATGTTTTGGTCTGTATGTTCCTTAGTCCTTTATCTTCTAAAATTGATCCAGAACACAGTTTTGGTGCTTTTTAGCAGAATATCTTTTTCTCCCTTATAAAAACCCACCAATTTTAAAGTCATATTTTTTGTTATATGCACTCATATTTTGTATTTTATATTCAGTACACAGATACACTTCTATTTTAGTATTTGACATATATTGAATTATAATAAAATATATTACAAAAACGGTCATTAAATATATTCCATAGCTAAAAATCAATATATCTCAGAAGTACAATCTTTTTCAAGATTGATTCTTTAAATTGAGTAGCTTATTTTAGATATTCAAACAGTGATGGAATTTGGATATCATTATCCAAAATAGAAGCAAGCTGAATTACTATATTGATAAACAGTCTGGTGGCTATAAAATGAAATAAACGGGGAAAATAATATATATTGAAGAAGGTTTCTTATCATTTATTTTTCTCTATAGATAAAAAGATAATTCAATCACTGGCTTTATCTGTCATAAAATATCCCATTAAAGGCTTCAAGTATGGTACCCAAAGTTTTATGTCTACATCAATAATACGATATACTAAATAACTCTTGGGGGGGAAAAGCCATTTTTCATTTATTTCCTTTTTATGACTATAATACTGGTAGTATTTTATAGTGAACTTGTTTTGAAAAACATTTAAATTTAGCTGAAAATTTAGGTACTGAGGAAGCATCTAGTTATAACATGACTGGCTTTTTGTTTAAAAGATTTGCTTACATACATTACACCATAGTGTTACAGTTTTTCCTTGGTCTTAATTAAGAGAGAGAAGTGGAGGGATTAGTTCAAGCTAAATGCCACAAACCTCAATTTTTTTTAATGGTGGAATACAATTTCATGTTCAATCAGGTAAAACAAGTGAAAATAAAATGGTAAACTCAGCCACTACAAAGACTTTAGTGTAAGCACAGTAGCAATGATTCCAAAGTGGCCAGAAATCATTCCTGGTACACATTTTAATTGCAGATCGTTCATATCCGTAAGCTACTTAAATAGTTTCATGCATCTTAACTGAATTGTTAACATTACTTAACAAAAACTCCTGCAGGAAAATGAAGTAACATTTTGAGAAGAAAAACAATTCCAGTAGAAAAAACTATTAAAACTAAATCCAAGGAATACTGAGAGATTAGAACATGAGTAAGGATGTTAATTCCATCTCTTTCCCCCTTCAAGGCAATAGTTGAACAAAACTTTTAAATAACTGGAGTAAAATCATTCTGAGAGCACACTGCCATCATAGGAATAATCAACCTCAAGTGATTAATCTCATAAGTTCTGAAACATGGTTTATTAAAAAAAGAAACCTATACCAAACAAGAATGAATCTTAAGGCCAAAATGTGGCATCCATAATACCAAAATAGTAAATAATTAAATTAAAAAGTCACCATGATTTTGACACTAAGGAACAAGAATATCCATGGGAACCACCGGTGCTTTTTGATCTCTTCTGTCTTTTCTCTGTCTTTTCCTTCCTTTCTTATCTTGAAAAATAAATTTTATCTTCTGAAATACGTACAATTGGTTTGAATCCCTTATATAATAATGAAGTATGTGTTTCAAAATCACTGAACTTTTTTAGATGAGGAGTTACAGAAATAATTTGAATTTTGCCTTTCAGATTTTATGGCATTAAAAATAATTGACATTACTAAGCTAAACAGACATAGCTTTCACAGACTCAATCTTCACAATTATTGAAGTATTTCATACATTTTTGGCTATTTATACTACTATAACAAAAATAGCTCCGATGCATCACATATTTAAATTATACCACACACTGTGCTAAGCACACTTTTTTTTAACATTTATCCTAACCTTCCCATGTTCCATCACATGGCTTTTTTTCTCCCCTTTTCTATTAAAAAAATTAAAATTCAGAGAAATTACTTAATAGATTTTAAAGTCTCACAGGTGGCTAAAAAGGGAGAAGTGAAAATCAGGATTCAACAAGAATGTGGCTGATCTCTTTATCTTCTTGTTTTATCACATTCATTTGTGGAAGAAGGTAATGGAGAAGTAGTGTCTATTTATACCCAGTCCTTCATTTCTGCCTTAGCCACCTTATTTTTCACCTTTAATGTCTTGAGACTCCATGCCAGAGTTAGTTTCCTACATTCGCTCAGGCATCTGCTCCTTTTTCAACCTGCTCATGCCTTCTTTATCTACTCTTACTTGGGTACTGATTCTCATCAGTTCTGAATCTTTATTTGTGAACTGGACCCAGTTCTAGATTTGCTTTCATTCAGAATTCTTCCTGAACTCTAACTCAATTGTCCTCTGTTTATATTACACATGTTTACATGCATCTACTGAACTGGATGGATCTCAGTCTCCTAAGAAAGTGCAGTTTTACTTATTTATTCATTTAAACAATAGTTAATGAGAACCTACTGTATATCAAGTGCAATTATAGCCATGGGGTTAAAGTGGTGACCAATACAGCTAAGGTCCTTATTTTTAAGAAAATATGCAAGGAATATGGATAATAAATCAGTCACCAAGTAATTTCACGATAATAAGTACTATGATAAATGCAAAATATGATCATGAAGCAGTAGAGAACAATGGGGTTCACTGGGCACTATTGATGGAAGGATGGTCAGGAAAAGACCTCTCTGAGAAAGTGATATTTGGGTAGAAAATGTGAAGATCATTGTGAATGAAAAACAGAGCATGAGGAAGTGAGAGCTGAGAAGAGGTCTGAGTTTAAAGCCAGCACTCATCAGATCATTGATATAAGGCCTTATAAACCACAGCGAGATGCCTACTTTGACTTCAAGTGGCCAGTTCTCAGTTTCAGTTAAAACGGTGTATATTAACTGACTCAAGCTTTTTAAAGATCTGTGTGGAGGAGGGACCACGGAAGTATTGTAGGGAAAAACATGATTAGGTCTTGGTCTAGAGATGCTGGAGAGGAGGTGAGGAAAGAGTCGGATTTGGGGTATTTTCTGGTGTAAACAAATTGACATGACTGACAGGCTGAGCTTGCAGGTTAAAGAAAGACAAGACATCCTCTAAGGCTAAAAAATGAACAAGTTAAATGAATGAATGAGTTCTATCGCCATTCAAACTGTAGCTGTCCAGATAATTCAGTTTTCTGTGATTTATACACTTTTATGCACAAGCACACACAGGCACAAATATGTTCAAAGAGCCGTACCTCCCAGAGTAGCAGATAGCAAGAAATGTGTCCCATATTTCTTGATAAGGTTTTCTGTGATTTGCTGAAGGGTAGGTCGTCGTCCCAAAAGTCTTATGTTGCGGAAGAATTCAGGGGCAAGAGGCAGAGGAGAGCCAAGGAAATTTCTTCTCTCAACTGCAAGGTTATTTACTTTCCAGCGGCCAAACTCCCTGAAAAGCAAATTTATTTTTATTTATAAATGCATAATCTATCTAAATGTTTTCATTTTAAAAGTTCACTTGGTAGTTTAGCTGGGGTCAGTACATTACAATGACTCTTCCTTGTAATATTATGTTGTGTGCTATGAGTAGGAGAAGCAATGTTTATAATTTATTTAACTGGAGTGAATACTCTAAAACCAAGTCATGTAGAGGAAAAATAGGCCACTTAAAGTGAACAGCTTCCGAGATTAGATGTGTATTCATAAAATGACTTCATTATGCCTAGAATATGAATGTAGAGTTACTAAACAATAAAAGAATAACTAAGGTATTTTCTTTCATTTTCTAAGGTATATTGATTGAATAAAAGAATGATTTATATTCATCACCCTAATGATTTCCTTTCTCTATTCACTTTAGAGTGGGAACGTAAAAACCCTTAGGGATATTATGGAGCAGCAGAAGAACTTTAAAATCATCATCAAAAGAGAAACCAGTTTTTTTTTTTAAATAATTATGGTTTACAACAAATTTGGAAACCCAAATTCAGCTCTGCAATTTTTCAAGACGCAATGTGATTTTATGAATTTGGCCAAGTTAGAGAAATGAAAGATATGGCTATAAATGTTTTATATATTTCTTAAAAAGAATTTATACATTTACAGTGAAACAAAATCAACCTGATAATAAATTAGAAAAGAATTATAGTAAACTGAGTCTGATTTTTTTTCTGACAAGTGGTCTAATAAAATTCTCAAATATCATCTGCAGGGAAGAACAGTATTTTTTACTAGGCTTAATACTTCAAAGTGTGTTAATACTTATAAAATAATCAAATAAAATGTTGATTAAATGCTTTATGGATATGGGCCGTATTTATTTATATTTTTCTCCAAGAAATGCTCGCAATGTTCCAGGCTCAGTGAGTGATAAGGGATTCATCCACTGATGAGACCCATACTGTCCATCTGCAAACAGCCTTTTCCTTTTGGAGAAATGTTTAGGAATAAATAAAAGAAATACATAAAATTAAATTTTAAAAAGTTTTAAATTCTGATATATACTGAATATACACATACAACCTACTTGGATAAGAAATATGACTGATGAAGTGTGGCAATATTTTACATTACATGGCCAGTGAGGGTAACTCTGCAGAGACAACGTTTGGGCAACATGTGAAGGAAAAAATATAAATTGCTTGGTGCAAGCAGGCAGGAAAAGGATTGACAAAGAACAATGAGGGACAGTGCAAATAATTTCAGGACAAAGAGGCGTGACCCTGACAGTTTCTAACTATGGATATTTAGTATGTGTGGCACACATTTGACAGTTAAACAACCCACTTTTGTCACTAATTATATGATTAGAATCACTTTGGAATCTAGGGAAGACTTCCACCCAAACAGAAATTAGCAGTTTTTCCTTTTTTGAGAAACTCTTGTATCCCCTTTAAGAATCAGCTCATCTAAACAGTTTTACATACTGTTGTTCTGCCAGGGGTTCTCAAACCCTTGTTGGAGAACCACATTGGGAGTAGTACACATTAGATATGAATTCAAATTCCTAGTGTGTCTCTTTTCCTGAACACAAGGTAAGACATTTACTGATGACCTTTAAAGTCATTGTGGCCATGTGGCTTACCTTGGCCAATGAAATGCGAGCATGTGTATACAGCCTGGTACATCAGCCCAGGACGCTGATTAGCAACTGTAACCAGAATTACTATGGTCCACATATACCCCTAAAGTTTAACAGGATGAACAAGTGAATGAACTGAAAATTAATTTGTCATGTAAAGTCATTAAGACTATGGGAGGCTGAGGTGGAAGAATCATTTGAACCCAGAAGGTGGTGGTGGCAGTGAACTGAGATCATACCACTGCACCCCAGAAAAGATTATGGGATTATTTGGTTTGCTTATTTCCTAGTAATACAATCTAGTATATTATTACTGATGTAAAGTATTTGACTCTGGGAAATCTTAGGAAGGTAATAAGGAGCTAACGTCTACATGTAAATGGGAACCTGAGGGGTGCAAGGTTTTTTTGTTTTTTTTTAAGCCTTGTTTCCTGAAGATAAGGTTCACCTCAGTTACAACTAGATCATGCATTCATTAAATGTTGGAAAAACAAAGCAATGAAGTGCTGAATTAAAAACATGCTGTTGGGTGTGATTATCATAATGAGAACATTTTTACCTAAAGGCATCTCAGGATTTCATCCAGATGCTTTTTTATATTAAATAAGAACACTGTTCTATCTAACTAAATGTTGTTTTCTACTTGGAACCTTCACAGAACATAACTATCTTCCCCATCATAACGTTTCAAAGTCTTTTAATTAAATAGGCACAATCATTAGAGTTTAATGTAACTCAGTCCCTTTCAAGGCACCACTATTTTGTAGAGCACACATATGGGCTATAATCAGTTTAACAAAAACATTACTTTGAAAATATTTTTGGGGAGCATACTCTAAGTAGCCTCTATTTATTAAAGTTGTATGTGTGTCTGCTAAAAATTCTGACATTCAAGCATCTATTATGTATGTCCACACAATGTTTATTTTTCTACAATATTTTTTATAATTTTGTCCCTACTCAGCTCATAAAAAGGTTGGGAAATAAGAATTACATCATCAAATTTCAGTAATCACTGGTAACATAATTGCCACATCGCCATTAACCTTTCTTATTAGCATTTAAATACATATAAACAGACAAATGCACTCGGTATATTTAAAAGATATAAACTGCCGTGATTTATTTAAAAGTACATATGTATATTTGGTTTCCCCCAAACACAGAATTTGCCGTTGTTCATATTAGAAATTTTGGATTAAATACAAAAGAAAAAGAAAACTGAAATATACTGACAAAAGCAGGTGATGCAGTAGGTGAAAAGATTTACATTTAACTGCTAATTTCCACTAAAGTTGTCTAAAGTCCAAAGTGCTATCATTACATAACTTTTCACATTACTACATTTGTTGGCTAGTAATTTTAATTTTACCAACAATCATTAAAATTTTCAGACAAAACAGAATCTTAAATATATTACCTAAGCATTCATGTCCACTGGGGACAAATTCAAAACAAAAAGCCATACTTTACTATCGATAATGTCCTAATTACATATGTAAAATCATACAGATCTTAAGAAATGACATTAATATCAGTATCAGGTCCCCATAGTTTTATTAGGTAACTGTTATATATAAAATTGACTTTTTTTTTTTTTTTTTGAGACGGAGTTTCGCTCTTGTTACCCAGGCTGGAGTGCAATGGCGCGATCTCGGCTCACCGCAACCTCCGCCTCCTGGGTTCAGGCAATTCTCCTGCCTCAGCCTCCTGAGTAGCTGGGATTACAGGCACACGCCACCATGCCCAGCTAATTTTTTTATATTTTTAGTAGAGACAGGGTTTCACTTGTTGACCAGGATGGTCTCGAACTCTTGACCTCGTGATCCACCCGCCTCCGCCTCCCAAAGTGCTGGGACTACAGGCTTGAGCCAGTGCGCCCGGCCTAAAATTGACTTTTAAAAACATTCTTACTTGCTAGGCACAGTGGCTCATGCCTGTAATCTCAGCACTTTGGGAAGCCAAGGCAGACGGATCACGTGAGGTCAGGAGTTCAAGACCAGCCTGGCCTACATGGTGAAAAGCCATCTCTACCATTAAAAAAAAAAAATAAAAACTAAAAACTAAAAAATACCCAGGTATGGTGGTGTGTGCCTGTAATCCCAGCTACTCAGGTGGCTGAGGCAGGAGGATTGCTTCACCTGAGAGGCAGAGGTTGCAGTGAGCCAAAATTGTGCCACTGTACCGCAGCCTGGGCAGCAGAGTGAGAATCTCAAAAAAACGAGAACAAAAACATTCTTACCATATAGCTTCCACATCTCACAAATGACACTGCTTTTTATTTAGCTGGTAAAAGGAAAATGTTTCAAATGGTCCGGATGACTACAGCACTGAAGCCAGTGTTTAGAAAACAGCTAAATGCTCAGCAATTGGCAAGTTAAAAAATCCACTCTCTTCTTTGCCCCTTGATACATCAAACTTTTAAAAAATTTAACAGTAGTAGAGTTTAAATTTTTTTTTTAAGCTTGGGAAAAATTTTTGGATGACGCTAGAAATTTAGCAGAATGAATCTATGCAAATAAAATACTGGATATAAAAGCCCACCCACAATATGACTTATGTAAAAAGTTTACATGTAGGATTTCTGAGAAGCACTGATTAATAACGGTTTGATTTTGAAAAAGCTGCCAAACTCATAGTAGACTACAGGACACAATTAGCATGACTGCATTAAAAACAACGGCCATCCGAGTAGAACAACAATAATTAACTGTAGCTGTAACTTCTTGACTATCATTAAAACAAAAAGATAAAGGTGGGACTACTGAAAAGCTGTTAAGGGATGGTCTCATTAATGGCTAATTTTGCACACTTCAAATTCTTAAAATATGTTAATATTTTAGGGCTTTGAAATTACTGAAAATAATTTTATGAAGTTACAGTTTTAAATAACTTTTAACTTTAATAGTTTAATAGCGTTTTATGCAAACTTTAAGATAAATACAACACAGATACAGATATATATGATAATATAGAAATTTATTTCGCTTATTTAAATTAAATCACTTTTTTGAACACTTGTTAGAAAAAGTTTTATGTAAAAATATACAAACATGCAGCTAATGATTTTCTCATTTGAAGAAAGGAAAATGTGCAAAAATTTTGCTTAAACTTTGCTTTCTAAAGCTTGACAGCATAGTTTAATATCTATTATAAATATTACATCAGCTTATCAAAATTACATTCATATAATTATGCAGATTAGGTAACTATTGATCAGTGTAGACAAGCCAAGAGGCACATACATTAACTGAGCTAAAATATAATAGTCTGTTTCTTTCTGAAAATAGGAATATGTTGAATGCTTTTATTTTAGCATTTATACTTACAGAAGTAATTCATTATCTTCATGAATATATGAAAAGCAT